CCCTTCCTTCTTCAGGTTAAAATGGGAGTAGTTCCGTTTCCCTCCTCAACCTGAAACCTATTCTTCCTCTTGTTTTAGCCTCTCTCTTCCCTGGTGTAGAGAGGAATAACAGGAACATGGCATCTGTCTCTGGGTCCTAAGAAGACAACAGGATGGTGGTATCATCAGCAGTAGCAGCAGGTAGGGAGACCAGCACTTTGGGAGTTGGTGCGTTCATGCTGTATGTGTTGACAGAGATACAAATTGGGGGGGGGGTGTGTGTGTGTGTGTGTGTGTGTGTGTGTGGGAAGGGGGTTGGGGAAGTTTGCATTGTTGGAAGCTGCATTAATTGAAGGCAGAAGTGGGCACCAGCTTGTGTATATAGAGGCAATGGGACTGAACAAAGATTGTCTCTCTCTTTTGCGCTCTAAGTGACTAAAAGGAATTATCTGTGGGGAATGTGTCTTGCCAAAAAGGTCACATTCAACATCATATCTTTTTTTTTTTTTTTTTCCATGTGTGAATTTGCTTTGCAGTCTCTAGCAGGTTAAATTTGGGAAGGATGGCTGTTATACAATTATGGTATAACATGAAATGGAATGCAGGCATTGTGCATTTGGGTCTTTTGCCAGCCATTGCAATGGTTTGTCATACACTGGAGGGTCTGTAGACTGAGTGGTAAGAGATGCAAATGTTTTGTGTCATGCTGGCTTTCAAAAAGATGGGTGGTGGCTTGGAGGTGTTCAGGGTACAGTTGGAAAGATGAGCAAAAGTCCTTGAGAGACTCTTGAGCAAAGGGCAGGTGGTCAGAGGTGCAAGGCTTAAAACAGAAGTCAGCTCCAGAAAACTAGAATGTCAGTGAAGAGAGAAAATGTATACTCTTTCATTAATTTAGTACAAGAGCATGGGCTGCTATGGAGAGATTTGTGAAGCATTTCTGTAGAATCAATGTTCTCAGGCTTGGTTCTATTTATCTCTTTATTTTTTTTTATAGCAGGACCCTATACATATTTCTTACAACTATTAATGTTGTAAATGTGCCAAGAAGTGTCATTGCCTGTTCTGGACACTGCCTGCCAGTTCTTTATTTTAATTAAACTTGTCAATAGCTCAGGCTCAGGTTACATAAACCTAGGCAAGGCAGTACATCGCCACTAATTTCTTGCATGAATTATGTTGTCAGGGATTTCTTGTCAATTCTATGCAGGGTTCACATATATCTAGAGTTTAAGTGTGTTGTTTAAATGTTAGCAACAGAAGTCCCATTCTTTGAGCCTTTGTTCTGTTTATTTTGGAGAGTAAAATGTTCTACAACATTTAGGTTAATCAGAAATGTCAACAGCTGCGCAACCTCCCTAGCGTTGGGTCAACCTCCCTAGGGTTGGGTCAACCACCTTTAATGCAATAAGAATCAATGGGAACCTATGTCGAAAATGGAAATTGTTGTTGCTAATGTAAAATGGGGTGGTCATGTGACAAAGAATGACAAACAGGAAGAGAAGCAGTGCTGGCTGCTACCCTGGGGGTCTTTAAGAGGAGGCTAGACGAATACCTTGCTGGGGTCGTTTGACCTCAGTACTCTTTCCTGCCATGGCAGGGGGTCGGACTTGATGATCTGCTCAGGTCCCTTCCGACCCTACCAACTATGAAAATTATAGTCCATCCTAAATGCCTAAGGACAGTGTGAAAGCAAAACATTCATCACCCCCATTTTTAAATATGGGAAAGTAGGGATGTTTTAGATGACAAGAAGTCTGAGGTTTTTCCAAAACAAGACCCCTAATCCAGCTAGCACTTTCACTTTCTTCAGCTCAGTGCATGAAAGAGCCCCTGTTGATTTTGATGGGACTAATCACAGTGGTAAATCTAAACACATGTGTAAGTATTTGCAGGTTTGGAATTAGCTTGAAGTCATTGTACCCTTCAAAAACAGTTGGCACACCATTTCCAAGGTTGCATACATGGAGAGAGATCCTTGTGACCAAAAAAGCAAAGGCTTATTGGAATGACTGGGATACTGAAATGCAATGAAGAGGGTTCATGCAGACGCTTGACTGGGATGCTCTAGAGTAGCGAATGTCAAGCAGGGTGCCACAGCATTGCGGGTGCCTTGAAATCTTTTCAAGGGTGTCATGGGGTGCCACACAATGTTAGCACTGTCAACATGCAAATAGGATTTACAACGTAAACCCAGAGCTTTCAATTAGGAATCTACAGCGTCAGAAGCATGCAGACCTGTTGCAGTCTTTCTCAGTTCTTTGCAACAGAAGAACTGCTTTATTTTTCTGTATTCACTTATTTTTTGACAACCTAAGAGCTGGTGTTTTCCTAGGGATGCTGCGAGTCTGAAAAGGTTGAGAACTGCTGGTTTAGAGAAGGGTAGTTAGCTGTGTTCGTTTAATCAGGGATGATCCTTCCTTCAGCTGAGGGCTAGACTAGGTGACCTCCTGAGGGCCCTACTTTTCTATAATACTATGATTTTATTACACATGCATCTCTTGTGAATATTGTGGCTTTTTATTTTTTTTAATAGTTTGCCAAATTGGTTTCTTTTTGTTTCCAGCCTTCTTGGGTACAGCCCTTCTGAAGTATTTCTTTTAACCCTTTCTTTTTTGTAATTACAGTGCATCTTTATGGACCTTCCTGACAGAGAAAGGAGGTCACTGACCTTGAGACGTACTTTCATCTGTATGTCTAGGCATTGGTTTTTAACAGAACGATAAGTTCATTCTCACTACGGATGACTTTGCTGTCATCTTTTAAGACACTTATGTCCTAGTCCTCATAAGGAAAGTATAAGTGGTAGAGCAAGAGCATGTGATCACTTTCCAAGAAGCGGGGGGTGGGAGCAGATCCATCACCTGATCCTGTTGTCTTGGCATGTTGTGGCTGTTGGGGGAACAAGGCAGGAAGAAAGTCACCCCCCCCAACCATGTCATCTCTCACTCAATTGTATTAGGATAGGTTTTTTGCTAAGGGAACACACAAGAGCTTACTTAACTCTGTCATTCAGAAATTATGACAGTCTCACTAGGAAGAGAAGAGAACTTGTCAGGAAGTAAACAAAGCATAACTGATAACATGAATACCAATCTGAGGCATGGAAGTGTTTTTGTTTTTAAAGATTTTGTGAAATAAGCATCTCCATAGGGCCTGCTTCTCCTTTCCTTTACAATGGTAACTCCTTTGGTGCTGCTTGTGTAATTTCACTTGCAGGAAGTTCCTATCACTCTCTGGAATCGGGTCATGATAAGCCAGGATTTTTTTTTTTTTTTTTTTTGGTCTGACTAGCCCTGAAAATTGGAAAGAAAAGCAAGTTGGGGAGATAAATAAGTGCCTGCCTTTATCTTATTTTCAGCAAGCACACAGCACAGATGGGCAGCAGATATTCATCTGTTCTGGATTAGAGACATTTATCATGGCCATCTCACTAGGATTAGACCCCATAATATGAGTGGAAAAACAAACTGCAAACAAAGGAAAACTGTCAGTCAATAGCAGGTCAATTGAGTCTTCAATGGGATGTCAGTCAAAGCTTTGTCTTTTCAGATCTGTTGACTCTTCCAAAGAAATAATGATGCTCCAACTTGAAAAGGTTGGATTGTGCAACTGGGACTCCAGTGCGGTGTTAAGGCGGCAGTAGGGTACATGGATGCGAGAACAGTGAGTTCCCTCAGACGAGCTGCTGAGATCCTTAATGCCTGTTGATTTCA